TGCGGCGGCCCCGCCCTCCCGCTGCAGCTCGGAGAAGCGGGTCCACACCCCGCTAGCTTGGAAACCCGCGGGCCTTCCCGCCCACTGCCGCCAAGACCCCTGCAACAGGCGGTTTGGCCGAGCTCGGAAGGGCCGGGGCGCGCTGGGGCTGGGGCAATGGGGTTGATGCTGGTGTCGCTGCAATGAACTTGTGCCTCTTACCGCGCCCACTCTTATGCTTCTGACCTCAGCAGTGGTCTCGGGGAAGGGGTCCTTGCCCGGCACAGATGCGTTTGTCCGAGGGAGCTTTGGAGATTCGGGTCAAGGCGTAAAGCCTGGGGCTTCCAATGGTGAGTTTCTGGTTTGCAGGTTGTGCTTACAAGGGGAGAGAGGCTGAGTGAGGACAGGGTGGAGCGGCTTCTGTGATGGGTGCTTGTTGTTAAATGTCACTTTTGAGTAATGTCCTGGTCGTAGGAAGACACTGTGCAGTCCGCTTTGGTAGGATTTCAGTCGGGATTCCTAGCAATTCAGCGTATCCTCCGTAGCTTCCCTCTGACTCCTCCCCCAGCTGAGCCTCCTAGGGCTGGACAAACCATTCCCGAGGTCTGTTTTGGTTCCTCAGAACTTCCTTCAGCTAAGTGACCTGGTTTTCTTTCCGAAGCTTCCCAGCACCCAGGAAGGCCAGAAGTAGCAGTCCTGAGCCGCTAGGCCCCCAGCGACAGGGGAAGCTCAACCTCCCCGCCTGCTATCTGTAGCCCACCCTCCCACCAGTCAGTCCCCTGCCAGGGAAGTCACTAAGGTACTCCAGGAGACCGCCCTAACATTGGCAGGACTTGGTTCTCCTTGAACCATGGTCCATGTTTTAAAATGAGATGCTTAATTTCCAGGCACATTTAGATGCCAGAGTTTCACAGGAAAAAGCTGTCGTGTCCCAAGAATTTTGCTTGGATGCTCTCTCACGGTTAAGCCTGAGAGAAGTTTAAGTTGGGTTTGTGGAAGCCAGTGTGTGTGTTTGTGTGTGTGTTCGCTGTGTCTGTTCACTGCCCTTCCCTCCCCCTTGCGACAGCCCCGAGTGCTGGAAGGGGCTGCAGTAACCTGCAGTTCTCCACCTCTCCTGCATCGGGCTTGCCGAGTGCCCTGGGGTTGGCTTCTAGGGACGCTCACAATCTTATTATAGGTGACTAGCACAGAGCAGAGTAGCTAAGTGACTTTGGGGAGGAGCAGGAGAAAGGGCCCATTTGCTGATCCTGTTTCCTTCTGGCCAGCTCTAATGCCTCAGGGGCCTGTGATCCTGAGGGGGTCTGGAATCCATTAGGCACAGACAACAACGTTCTGGGGGTCTGGGGAGCCACGGGGAGGTGTGCAGACTAGGCAAACAAAGGCAGGTTTTCTCTGCTGTTGAGAGAGGTGGCTTCCCAGGTGACTTCCCCTCATCCCTGTGCCCTGGCTTCTGCTGAAAGAGGCTCCTCTGTGTGGCCATTGCACACGGCATCTGAGTACCCACGGGGCTGGTGTCGGGAGAGGTCCTGGGCTCCCCACCCTGAGGAGGGTGGGGGATCCCTCCAGAGCCCTGGTCCACAAGGTTCTCTGCTGATGCAAGAGGAGACACGCTTGGTAACATGGCTCTAAACCAAAATACCAGGAAAATCAGATTTGTTCTGAAACATTTCGGGGCAATAATGGTGAGCATATGTTTCAGTACTGTCATTAGCCGAGTTAGCAGACATGGAGCTGCCCAGAAAACACATGTGTACGTGTGTGCCTGTGTATGTGTAATCTGCTGTGGCCTGGAGGCCTGCTTTGGGATGTGGAGACAGAGGGTGGTGGCAGGTGGAATCCGGGCGGGCTGCATGGCATGCGTGGGAGCTCAGAGAACATGAAGAAAGGATGACTCCAAGCATCTTTAACTCCAGGGGGGACCCTGTGCCCACGACTGCTGAGGAGTAAGCCCTCTCTGGTTTTATTGGTGCTTCCCACAGATACGCTGGGCAGCGATGGAAGCCTAGATGCCTCACCGCAAGGAGCGGCCGAGCGGGTCCTCGCTTCACGCACACGGCAGCGCCGGCACCGGCACCGCGGTGAGCCTGCAGGGTGGGCTGGGTCGGCACCGGTGGCCCCTGCTCTGCCCCTTTCCCAAGTGCCAGCTCACTGGCTGCCCTTCCTTGGGGCCCTGGCACTCAAGGGATGGCTGTTGACTGGCTGTACGATGATGTGTTTTTTGAAACAAAAATGCTCTTAATTTGATGTGAAATTTACTACTTGTATAAAACCCGACGCCTTAGGTGCTGAGGAAGTCACTAATTTAGAGGTGTCTCGTTACTGAGACAAACTTGCAAAAACCCCTGAATCCCAATTCACAAATTGGTGATTCGTTTGTCAGGGGATATTTCACATCTAACACATAAGCCCGCGACCTTTAATTAGAATTTTGCAGTTTGTTTTATGCCCCTGGAGGCTGACACCTTGAAAAATTTTTTTTTCTTGATTTCTTATTGCTAATAAGCATCTTTCTTTTTTCCCTCTGGTACTTTGAAGAAAATGATGCAAATACACTTAATTACAGTGGTGGCCATAATTTGTCAGCTGAATATGTGATCAGGCACAGGCAGAAGTGATCTGATTAGATCTGTGATCACGCTCGCAGTCCAGGGGGTGCACGGCTCTGTCGGAGAGAAACTCTTGTTTTCCGCCTTGTTTCCGTCTCCAGGAGGGAGGAAACATGTCCCGGCTGTCTCTCACCCGGTCGCCCGTGTCTCCCCTGGCTGCCCAGGGGATCCCACTGCCAGCTCAGCTCACCAAGTCCAACGCGCCTGTGCACATTGACGTGGGCGGCCATATGTACACCAGCAGCCTGGCCACGCTCACCAAGTACCCCGACTCCAGGTAAGAGCCGAGCCCCTTGGAGTTATCGGGATGTGGTGGTAAAGAGCAGCCTTTGCAGCCTGTAGCCAGGGGGCCTGTCCACTGCCAGCCCCCACACTGGGCTCTCCAGGCTGGTGCAGACCCAGGAGCTAGGCTTCGGAGGCCAAGTCAGCCTATGGGAAGCTGCTTTGCACAGCGCCTGTGACCTTGAGCAGGACAGTTGTAGCCCAAGGTGGAAACAGCCCCACCCGAGCCTGGCCAGCAGCTGGCTGGGAAATCTCATACACCGTCAGATTTCTCTTGAAGGACTCAGGCCTGTCCTCTACAGGGGATCATTTGTGAGCAAATAGTACATCTTGGGGTCTTCGGGATGGCTGGTATTTAATCCTATTAATCCTATTTTCTGTACTGACCCTTGGGAAAATGCATAAGGAGAGGGAGGAGGAAGTGCACTTTGTCATCTTTGTATGTTTGAATGGTCACTGCAGGACCCTAAGGGCTTGCAGCAGGTTTCTCGTGGGGCCAGGTGTTGGCATTGGCTGGCTGGGGGTTCAGGCCATTCAGGGATGTCCAAGGCTGTGGACAGTGTGAGCTTCATACCCCCCAATTAGTAAATTCAGTGTCTCTGACCAAGGTCCTCCCACGCTGCTGAACTTCACAGGTTGTTCTGACTTTGGGCCTGCACAGGGTGCCCGGAGATGGAGCCGGGGTTGCTGTAGGCACAAGGGCAGGGCTTACCCAGAGTGACTGGGTCTCTGAGCATCTCCTGGAGGTGCCCAACATGCTGCTTATTAAGTTCACAACTGCTTTCTCCTGGACAGCAAGGTGGCCACCACCCTCTATGGCTGCTGAAGGCTGAGGAGTAGCCAAGGCTGCAGGGTGATACCCCTGTTTTATACATTTAAAATAACAAGAGGAGTTAATTAATTCTCCAGACACCGAGGATTCATCTCTGGAGAGCCTGTGTGTCAGGCTCACACCAGTGTGATTCTCAGAGCAAGTGGGATTGTCGTATGAGGAGGTGGCTGTTTTCAGGGCTTGTTGAGGGCCAGGCTGGGGCCCTGCACAGGTAGGAATGCTCCCTCCGGGATGGTGGAGGGTAGAAATGGGAGCTGTGTCGGGTTCAGAATTTGGCAAGCCTGAGGTGCAGCTAGCGGTTGGGGCTTCATTTCTTCAGCCTAAGAGAGACTAGGCCTGGGAGGGACCCTTGTGAACTTGAGGCTGAGAGGGGCACGAGGCCATGTCAGCAGTGCTGGCTTTGGTGGCCGCCCGCCGCGGCCTGTCTGAGGTGGGGGATTTTGGTGCTGGTTGGCGTCCCCGCCTGCCGAGCCCTGTCTGAGATGGGAGATGGATTCTGCTTACTTAATTTCAATTTTGCCTTCTGCGCCATTCCCAAGTTGTTTGAGATAGATCAACCCTTAATCGGTTCACGACGTTGGTGAGCGAAATTCATAAAACCTTTGCCCACAACCCTCTCTGAAGAGTGTTTCCTGAAATTAGACATTTGCTTTTCTGGAGTAATCACAGAGCAGGCCTGGGGGAGGTGGCTGGGGCTTCCTGTTCTTGTCTTGGGGATGCTGTCTGGGAACACAGCAGGCGACGGGAGGGTGGGCTCCCCGCCAGGCTCACACTGGCTCGCCCATTCTCGTGCCCTGCTGGGTGCTGAGGTGTGCTCTCCTGGGAAGCGAGGCTGCTGTAGCCCTGTGATCTGGCATGTGGGGACCCCCCCTCCCTGCCAGCAGGATGTGCCCAGAGGCAGTGGCAGTCTGCATGCTTTCCGGGGCTGGGCCTCAAGAGGAGTCTCTTGTTCTGCCTGGATGCTTCTGGCTAGTCAAGCTGCTCTCCAGGCCTGAAACTGTGGCCCAGGGGGTAGCATGACCTGTAGGACAGACGGGGGACAGGAGGGACCAGGCAGGGCCTGAGAAGAAGGTTGGGCAGCTATGCTGGCAAGGACCCCTCAGATCGCTTTCCTTCTTTTAAATGACCACAATTTAAAAACTTTTTCACGAATTCCGAGAGAGATGAATTTCTTGCTCAAATATTACCAATGTTTGAGTCACCAGGAGATAGAGAATTAAGAGTCCTAAGGTTACCTGAGGGTCCCACCCTGGGCAGTGCTGTGAGGGCCAGGGGACCCATACCCAAGGTCTCTGTGCCCGTAGAACTATGCCTGGGCTCTGATCCTGGGCTTGGGCACTGGAGAGCTGAGTGCCTTCCCTGGTCCTCGCCCAGAAATGGCTGAGCACAGCTTACCTGAGGCTGGGAGTGGACTCCCCAGACCTGCCTTCCCTCGTGTCCTGCCTGCTGGACATCGTTCCACGGCTGCCATCACAGCCCTGCCCTGGCCTCCATCCTGGTTATGGGAAACAACAAATAAAGACAGCCAGGAGCTTCGGCTGACACATGCAGGAAATTGGAGTTGGAGCTTAAAACAAAGATGAGGCCTGCATGATGTGCCTCCCTTTGCACACCTGGCAGGTGGCCAGACTGTGCCTCTCCTGCTCCTGAGGGTCCTGCTGCCAAAGCGGGTCCTGGCTGGCTTATTCCATGGAGGACTTCTGCGCTTGGCTTCCAGCCCCGCAGCCTCCCTCACTGGATGGCCTGGGCTGGTTTCCAGGGGGGACCATAGACGGGACCCAGGAGGTCCCAGAAGGAGCTCAATCTTCAGACTCTGCAAGTGACTGGGGGTTCCTTTGGGGTGGTTGTTCTTACTATCCCCATCCTGCTCATAGCCTTGGTAGCCTCAGACCCCTGCAAACATGAAAAGCCTCTCTCTTGTGAGAAGCTGCGCTGCTACCAGTTGATCCTAGAACAGATGCTGAATCATGGAAAGATCTAGAACCAGCTCACCCTGAAGTAGGCAGATTGAGTACCTTGTGGCCTTGGATCAGTTAGACAGCCTAGAACCCAGCCAGCCCTGGAATGTGGGTGAGCCAGGAGCCCTTTAGACCAATAGGATGCTAGAGTCTCAGCTGGTCCTGACGTCAGAGGGATTTGGAACTCAGCTGGGCCTAGATCGCTGCTAGCTGCATGATGCTGGAGCTCCTCCGGGAAGGGTGGGGAGAGTTCCCGGGGAGGCTGAGACTTTGAATTTGCTGACTCACCTGTGGATGTGGCTCCTGCTTCCTGCCGGTGCCTTGTGTGGGTGCTCAGCTATGGGCCCACCCAGCAGCCTTGCTCAGTCACATGTCTCAACGTTCTGGGTGGCTCGCACTCCGATACCTGAATGCCCAAAGTCTGCTAGGCCAGGTCTTGAGGGCCTTGAAAGCTGGAGTGAGCCACAGAACCACAAGGCTTTCTGGCGGGGGCTGTGTCTCCCAGTACCATTGTCACTAGGCTTTGGTGGGTTTACAGGGCTCAGTGGCTTTTGGAGCCCTGAATCAGCTGTGTCAAGGGTGCCACAGCTGTGAATCCAGGGGCTTGGGCCTCTCCACACTGCTCCCTGCAGTCTCCGGTCTGCTTATGGCCTTCCAGGAGACAGTCTTGCCTTTTGTCCTGACCCACTGGGACAGGGGCTTGACTATGTCCCAGAATGAGAACAAGTCACTTCATAGCTACTCCATACTTGGGCAGACCCTTTTAGCTGATGCCTTGAGCATGCCAGGCTACCAGAGAATAGGGTGATGGGTACGAGAGGCCCTGAGAGGAGCCCTGGAGATCTACCCCTCAATCAGCTGGTGTGCACACAATGGCAATGGTAGGCAGGGCCTTGGGAGCGGCTGACTTGGGGTGGGCAGAGGAGTGAGCTGCAGCCCAGACAGCAGCATCCCTGGAGGGGTCCTCGCTGGTGTGGGCAGGGAAGGACTTAGCACGGGCTTGTGTGCAGGCTGGGCTGAGAGACCTGGGTCCTAGGTCCGGCCTACCCTCCTCCTAGACTGGAAAGACCAGCTGCTACCTTGGCAGGTCTAACTGGGCGTGAGTGTGCAGCCCTGACTGCTGAAGGGTGTCTGGTGGTGCAGTCTCTGGGGAGACGCTACCAACTCTGTTCTGGCTCTGAGTCAAGCTCGTGGCTCCCCACCCCCTTTGGGGCTCCTAACGATCCACAGTTAGTCTGGGTTCTGCAGGGGCAGTGAGCCAAACCAGAGCCTGGCTCCTGGGCACCGGGGAGGCACTAGCCCTAGCACTGAGACCTGGTTCCCTCTCCCTGGAGTGGGTAGAGGCAGGCACTGGGGGCTCCCCAAATGCTTCCTGCAGGTCCTGCATCCATTAGAACCACTGCCCTTCAGAGGGACTGGGTGCCAGCACCTGTCTTCCCTCCCAGAACCTTCTCCCACCTGCCAGGGGTTCACATGCTATGGCATACGTGTGCATACACATATACTATGCCACGTGTGTGCATGGTTTCTGTGTGAGAACACACTGTGGCATGTCTGTATATGTGTGTACTCTCACATGGACACGTCCTATGCTATAGCGTGTGTGTAAGTACATTTTTGCACAGTGGCATGTGTGCACATGGTCGTGTGCTACAGTATATGTGCAAGCACACGGTCGTGTGTGTTCTGTGGCATACACGCCATACCTCCTGCCTTCCTGTTTCTTTGAATGGCTCCCCGAGTGAGTGGCCATGGGGTGTTTGTGCCTTCATGGTTGTAGGTGGCTTGTGTTGGCTGGTACATCTTTGACTGGCTATTTCTGGGTCGGCCTGAGAGGGGAGGGAGGAGACCGGATGACCCTGTGCAAAACCCTGTGCCTATTACCTGTGTGTGTTGTCTGTGCTTGGAACATGGATTCGTATTGAGTGAGGAGAGTGTATGTCGCCAGCGACTGTCTTAGCTGGTTTATATGAGGAAACTTCACAAAGTTCATGGAAAAATTACAGTGTGATTTTATTTTGGTGCAAAAAAATTGAAATCTATGCATAGTTGTTTTTTTTTTTTTTTAAATAATTTTTTTGGAGGGTTTTTCTTA